AACCCCTAACCCGATCCCCAAACCCCAAACCCCTAACCCCAAACCCGATCCACAAACCACTAACCCCTAACCCCTAACCCGATCCCCAAACCCCTAACCCCTAACCCGATCCCCAAACCACAAACCCCTAATCCAAACCCCAAACCCCTAACCCCTAACCCGATCCCCAAACCACAAACCCCAAACCCCTAACCCGATCCCCAAACCCCTAACCCCTAACCCCTAACCTGATCCCCAAACCCCAAACCCCTAACCCCAAACCCGATCCCCAAACCACTAACCCCTAATCCAAACCCCAAACCCCTAACCCCAAACCTCAAACCCTTAAACTCAAACCCCAAATCCCAAACCCCTAATCCAAATCCCAAACCCCTAACCCCTAACCCCAAACCTCAAACCCTTAACCCCTAATCCCAAACCCCAAACCCCTTACCTAAACCTCTAACCCAATCCCCAAATCCCTAACCCAAAACCCCAAACCCAATCCCAAAACCCCTAAACCGATCCCCTAACCCCTAACCCAAACCCCTAACCCCCAAATCAAACCCATAACCCAATCCCCAAACCCCTAACCCGAACCCTTAACCCAATCCCCAAACCTCTAACCCAAACTGCAAACCCCTAACCCAATCCCCAAACCCCAAACCTGATCCCCAAACCCCTAACCCGATCCCCAAACCCCTAACCCAGTCCCCAAACCCCTAACCCAAACTCCAAACCCGATCCCCAAACCCCTAACCCGATCCCCAAACCCCTAACCCAGTCCCCAAACCTCTAACCCAAACCCCAAACCCGATCCCCAAACCCCTAACCCGATCCCCAAACCCCAAACCCAATCCCCAAACCCCAAACCCCTAACCCAATTCCCAAACCCCTAACCCAATCCCCAAACCTCTAACCCATAATCCAATCCTCAAAACCCTAACCCAAACCCCAAACCCGATCCCCACATCCCAACCCCTAACCCGATCCCCAAAGCCCAAACCCCTAACCCAATCCCCAAACCCCTAACCCAATCCCCTAACCCCCTAACCCAAACCCCTAACCTGATCACCAAACCCCAAACCCCTAACCCAATCCCCAATCCCCAAACCCCTAAACCAATCCCCAAACCCCAAACCCCTAACCCCTAACCCAATCCCCTAACCCCCTAACCCAAACCCCTAACCCCTAACCCAAACCCAAACCTGATCACCAAACCCCAAACCCCTAACCCAATCCCCAAACCCCTAACCCAAACCCCAAACCCCAAACCCCTAAGCCAATCCGCAAACCCCAAACCCCAACCCGATCCCCAAACCCCTAACCCGATCCCCAAATCCCTAACCCGATCCCCAAACCCGACCCCGATCCCCAAATCCGACCCCCAAACCCCAATCGCCAAACCCGACCCCCAAACCCCAATCGCCAAACCTGACCCCCAAACCCCAATCACCAAACCTGATCCCCAAACCCCAATCGCCAAACCTGACCCCCAAAACCTCAATCTCCAAACCCCTAACCCATACCCCAAACCCGATCCCCAAACCCCTGACCCAAACCCCAACCCAAACCACAAACCCGATCCCCAAACCCCAAACCCGATCCCCAAACCCCAACCCAAACCCCTAATCCAATCCCCAATCCCCTAACCCAAACCTGATCCCCAAATCCAATGCCCAAACCCAACCCCCAAAGTCAAGCCCAACTCCCTCCCAGGACACACAGTGTGTCAATCGAATGTTAGTAAAAGGTCAGTGAGACGTGACGGGTGTCAACGGGAGTCTCTGACATGGTCAACCATGAAGCCATTAACTAGGGCCTGACTGACATTAATGTCAGGTGACTGAGGGTCACATGGTTAAGGGGTGACTGGGTCAATGGGAGTCTGTAGGGATTGCAGTGGGAGCTCCACAAAGGCCAGAGGCAGGGAATTCTTGGAACTTGAATTGTATTGGGCCTGGTGAGACCAAGCCTGGGGGATTGTGGGTGCAGTTTGGGGGTCCCCGTACCTGAGGAAGGAGATTCTGGCAATGGGGGGAGAGCAAGAAGGGTTTCCCAGACTGACCCCTGCGATGGCAGGACTGAAGTCTGAGGAGAGATGGAGCTGTTTAGGATTGTATTCACCGGAGTTTAGGAGAGTTGGGGAGGGGGATCCCATAGAATTCCAACGGGGTTAGACACGGTAAACGCAGGAAGGATGTTCCTGATGGTGGGGGAGTCCATAACCAGGAGGGTCACAGTCTAAGAATTACGGGGTAGGCCCATTTAGGACTGGGATGGGGAGAAATGTCTTTACCCAGAGAGTGGGGGAGCCTCTGGAATTCCCTGCCAGGGAACACAATCGAGGCCAAAACATCGAACGTTTTCAAGAAGGAGTTAGACTCGGATCTCAGGGCTTAAAGGGATCGAAGGATATTGCGGGGAGAAAGCAGGAACAGGGGACTGACTTGGATGATCAGCCGTGATCCTATTGAATGGGGGAGCAGGCCCAAAGGGCCGAATGGCCTGCTCCTGCTCTGAATTTTTTAACAGAAGGGTCATGAAGTTAGCAGGAATTCAATGGGGGTTGATTGGTCAAATGTAGGGGTCAGAAGGGTTCAAAGGGCAGACATAGGTCAAGGCAACTGGAAGTCAACAGGGTTCATTGTGTGAGGCGTGGTGGGGGTGGGGTTAATGTGATTTATGGCTGCCATAAACCTACCCCCACCCCCACAAACCCCTATTCGTGATCACCCAATTCCGGGAGAGAGCAGGTCTCTCCTGAAGTCGGGAATTTGAAACTCCAGGCCCTGGATTTGGGCCAGGCCTCGGCCTGAGTGGTGCATACTCATCCCTCGACAGCGATACATCTACATCCCCCACTTCCAGGCCTCAAAGGTGTCAGCTCTTACCCCGACATCCAGCGACTTCCAGTGGCTCCAGTCGTGCTCGTCTGCTCCCAGGGCCTGCACGGAGTAGGCCCTCCTCCTCCAGGCCCGGGCTCTCTGGGGGGCTGGGGCTGCCGTGCTCTCCAAGGCCTCCTGCAGCCTCTCCATCTCCTTCACCTGCCCCATCAGTGTCAGGAGGTCCAGCTTCTTCCTCAGGGAGGGCCCCAGGGGCTCGGGCACCCACAGACCTGACTCCTGGCCTGGTGGGCTATGTGCTGGTACCGGGGCCCCATCAACGCTGATGGAGGGGGTGCACGGCGAAAGCAGGGAAGCAGCTGGGGCCTTGTCGGGCCGCTCCCCCAGGGGCCTGAAGTGGTAGGATGAGGTAGGGCTGGGAGCGGGGGGTGTGCCCGAGGGTGAGGGAGGCCTGGGAGAGGTGCCGGAGGGGGAGTGAGGTTCTGGCGAGGGTCCTGAGGGTGATTGAAGCCTGGGAGAGAGGCCTGAGGGGGAGTGAGACCCAGGGGAGAG